AGTGATGTCCTTGGACGCTTTGTCATATTTATCACAAAGAAGGAAGCCCAGTTTAGCTTGCTTTGCCTGCTTTGTTTTTGCAGAAGTCCCTCAAGATTCCTTTGAAGACGTGGAACCACACCACGAGTGTGAGCAGCTTAGATGATAAAACAAGTTGGTTGTGTTACTAGACTTTGTTTTTACCAGTTCCCTGCTCATTTTATAAATCACTGTAGTTTGGTTTCTGTCTGACTTGCTATAACTAAAATACTGCTAACTGGCGACCTACTTAAACCCTTCTTTGGGACAATTTCCTCCACCTCTCCTGATGCTGCATCTGCACGTGTTCTGTGTTGTGGTTTGAGAGGCTGGCACTTTGTGACGGCGTGCCTGGGTCCCCGATTGCGATTTGTTGGTGGGAAGTGGTGACTGTAGGATCAACCTACATGTTAGGCTACGATAAAAAGGAAGGAAAACCGTGCTTTTGTGTTGAACTTTTTTTTACCCTTTTTTTTCCCATTGCGCCTACTTGGATTAATTTGTGTTAAGACAAATTATTTATGTAGGAATATATTCATAGGCGTCATACGTCAACCAAACTTTTGTGGGGGGTGGTGGCCTACTGGTTAGAGCATAGAGCTTGAAATCCTGCTTTTGAGAGTTGGAAACCCACTCCCAAAGACTACAACTCTGGGTCCCTGAGTAAAGACCCTTAAAATTGTCCCTTTTCGGGCCGATATTTTCGTGCCAGAATTTTTTGATTGGCCGACTTTCAGCATGATCATGCGCCGTGGAGGGGGTAACAAGGGGCGATCACCCTCTCATGGCCACCTCCTGATCAGGAATCGCAAGGTCGGGAGAAAATCAAACATGTTTGAAATTCAGTCAGCCACCGTAAAGTGGTTGTGGGCAAAACGCTCAGTGGGCATGTGCAAACAAGGATTCTTCTTCTTCCTCTAAGACGAAAACAGGAAAGCATGGCGGGGGTGCGAGTGAAATGGAGTTCCTTCTGTTAAATTGACAGACTGTAGTAGCCAAATTTTCTCAGCCATGTCTTTGTCCAAATACGTTGTGGCCTTTTCTTCTTCGGGCTTTCAGCACAAAATTGCACAAATTGGCAAAGCAGCGCATTTCACTCTAGTAAGCTTCATATTCCTCTTCTATGCGTTTGGCTTCCGGATAGACGAGTCCGAGTAGCGCCATCTCCCTGCGGAGCTGAGTCCGAAGTGTTTTTTTTAAAGTACAGTGTGAGCAGGTAAATCCCATCAGGGCAACGGGTCGCACAGTGTAAGAACATACATTTTGAGTTGTGAACTTTTAAACCCTGCGGTTTCATTGTACAGTGTGAGCTGAAGCTGCGTGCAATGATTGAATATATACAGCGTATGCCCAGCTTTACTCAGCATAGCAGCCTAGGCGCCACTATGGGGGCCATTTTGGACAAAAAACTATTTTTCCTCTCACGTACACCACTAAAACCATGCACACACCTCAGAAGACACATACACACTCTCAACAAAACTGTTTTCCTCTCGAACACCCTACTATGACATGCACACATCACAGAAGAAAAAGTCACACACAATCACAAAACTTAAATTGACCTCTCACGTCTTCTTCTCTGAAGCTCATAGTTGTTGGCTAAGCAGGTAATTGGCTTGTGTGCTGCCCCCTATTGCCCACTCCATATTTACATAATATTGCTCAGTTTGGGTTCCACCACGCATGCGCTAGCCAGTTTGCCCCGCCTCTTCCGTGACAGGTTGAACTCTCTCACACACAAGTACAAGCCTCTCATTCAGTCTACTATTATATCAGTCACATACATACATACACGCACATGCATGCGCACACACACACACATGCATAGCCTCTCATTCAGTCTACTATTATATAAGTCACATACATACACGGTCATGCACGCGCGCGCGCACACGTATTAGCCTCTTATTCAGTCTAGTATTAATTCACACACACACATACATATATCGCACATGCACGCGCACGCACACACACACACTCACATATGCATAGCCTCTCATTCAGTCTACTATTATATCTGTCACATACATACACGCACATGTGCGCGCGCGCACACACATAACCATAGCCTCTCATTCAGTCTAGTATCAGTTCACACACACACATGTATAGCCTCTCATACAGTCTAGTATTAGTGCACACACGCGCATAAGACATATATTCAAGTTTAGTTTTGTGATTGTGTGTGACTGTTTCTACTGTGAAGTGTACATGTCATAGTAGGGTGTTTGAGAGGAAAACATAGCATATTGGATTTGCTGTGTATATCTGTTCACTCTTCTTAGTGAATGGAACAAAAAAAATTGTCAATCAATTCAGGTTATTTTATATAGTGCCAACTCACATCAAAACATGATCATAACCATGAACCTATCTAAGCTTTTACCTTTTTCATATAATAACTATTATAGTATTATTAGACTGTGTTCCCTTTTTTCATTCTGCTCTGTCTTCTTAAGCCCTCTGTTTGTAGTAGTGGAGGGGCGTTAATAAAGAGGTCCAACAAGGAAGCTTCAGATGTATTACCTAGATAGAACCATTTTAACCAATCTGTCAGTATGATTTGAT